TCATGGGAGGAACCCAGTGGGAGATGATATAATTATGGGGACAGGTCTTTCCTGCACTGTTATCGTGATAGTGAATGAGCCTCATGAGATCTGATGGTTTTAAAAATGGGAGTTTCCCTGTGCGAGCTTTCTCTTTGCCTGCCACAATTCACGCAAGACATGAATTGCTCCTCCCTGCCTTCCGCCATGATTGTGAGGCCTCCCCAGCCATGGGGAACTGTGAATCCAATAAACCTTTCTTTTGTAAATTGCCCAGTCTCAGCTATGTCTTTATCACCAGCATGAAAACAGTCTAATACAATATGAAAGGAGAACATTTATCTAGTACACCAAAAAGTTATATTGAATTCAGTATCTGTTTTTTAAATCCATTTTTTCTTTTTTTTCCATTTTTAGTTTTTTAAAAAATTTATTTATTTAACTTTAGATGCACACTGTATCTGGCATTTCTCTGCATGTTATCCCTCTCCACCCTCTGCTCTCTCTCCCCTATCCCCCACAACTGCCCCCAGTGTGTGATGCTCCTCTCCCTGAGTCCACGTGTTTTCATTGTTCAGCACCCACCTATGAGTGAGAACATGTGGTGTTTGGCTTTCTGTTCTTGGGTCAGTTTACTGAGAATGATGGTTACCAGGTTCATCCATGTCCCTAAAAAGGACACGAACTTGTTTTTTATGGCTGCGTAGTATTCTATGGTGTAGTTGTACCACATTTTCTTTGTCCAGTCTATCACTGATGGGCATTTGGGTTGGTTCCAGGTGTTTGCTATTGTACACAGGGCTGCAATGAACATACGTGTACATGTGTCTTTATAGTAGAATGATTTATAGTTCTTTGGGTATATGCCTAGTAATGGGATTGCTGGGTCAAATGGAATTTCTGTTTCTAGGTCCTTGAGGAATCGCCACACTGTCTTCCACAGTGGTTGAACTAATTTACACTCCCACTCCCACCAACTGTGTAAGAGTGTTCCTATTTCTCCACATCCTCTCCAGCATCTGTTGTCTCCAGATTTTTTAATGATCACCATTCTAACTGGCATGAGATGGTATCTCAATGTAGTTTTGATTTGCATTTCTCTGATGACCAGTGATAATGAGCATTTTTTCATATGTCTGTTGGCCTCATATATGTTTTCTTTTGAAAAGCGTCTGTTCATATTCTTTGCCCACTTTTGAATGGGGTTGTTTGCTTTTTTCTTGTATATCTGTTTTAGTTTTTTGTAAATTCTGGTTATTAGCCCTTTGTCAGATGGGTAGATTGCAAAAATTTTTTGCCATTCTGTTGGTTGCCGATTCACTCTAATGATCGTTTCTTTTGCTGAACAGAAGCTCTGAATTTTAATTAGATCCCATTTGTCTATCTTGGCTTTTATTGCCATTGCTTTGGTGTCTTAGTCATGAAGCCCTTGCCTATGCCTATGTCCTGGATGGTTTTTCCTATGTTTTCTTCTAGTGTTTGTATGGTGTTAGGTTTTATGTTTAAATCTTTAATCCATCTGGAGTTAATTTTAGTGTAAGGTGACAGGTAGGGGTCCAGTTTCTGCTTTCTGCACATTGCTAGCCAGTTTTCCCAACACCATTTATTAAACATGGAGTCCTTTCGCCATTGACTGTTTTTGCCGAGTTTGTCAAAGATCAGATGGTTGCAGATGTGTGGTGTTTCTTTTGGGGCCTCTGTTCTATTCCATTGGTCTATGTCTCTGTTTTGGTACTAGTATCATGCTATTTTGGTTACTGTAGCCTTGTAGTATAGTTTGAAGTCCAGCAGTGTGATGTCTCTGGCTTTGTTCTTTTTGCTTAGGATTGTCTTGGCTATGCAGGCTCTCTTGTGATTCCATATGAAGTTTAAAGTGGCTTTTTCCAGTTCTGTGAAAAAGGTCATTAGTAGCTTGATGGGGATAGCATTGAATCTGTAGATTACTTTGGGCAGTATGGCCATTTTCACGATATTAATTCTTCCTAACCATGAGCGTGAAATATTTTTCCATCTGTTTGTGTCCTCTCTTATTTCATTGAGCAGTGGTTTGTAGTTCTCCTTGAAGAGGCCCTTTACATCCTTAGTTAGTTGTATTCCTAGGTATTTTATTCTCTTTGTAGCAATTGTGAATGGTAGTTGGCTCTTGATTTGGCTCTCTGTTTGTCTGTTACTGGTATATAGGAGTGCTTGTGATTTCTGCACGTTGATTTTGTATCCGGAGACTTTGCTGAAGTTGTTTATCAGTTTGAGAAGATTTTGGGCTGAGATTGAATTCAGTATCTGTTAAAAAGAAGGGAGACTAGTAACAGACACTTTGGAAATGCAATTAAGGAAACAGTTACATTCACAATAGCAATCAAATACTTAGGAATAAAGTTAGCAAAAGCAGTTCAAGACATATTTACTGAAAACTGTAAAACATTGCTGAGAGAAATAAACAGATATTTCATGAGAACACTCAATATTGTTAAGGTGGCATTATATATTTAATGCGGTCTTTATCAAAATCCCAGCAGGCTCTTTAAAAAAAAAATGACAGGCTAAATCTAAAATAGCCAAAGAGCCTAATATATAGCTAAAACAGTTTTCAAAAAGCTTAACTAACTTGTAGGGTTTAGACTCTGTTTCACAAGTCATTATGCCAAGTGCAGTGGCTCACTTCTGTAATCCCAGTACTTTGGGAGGCCAAGGTGAGTGGATCACTTGAGGTCAGGAGTTTGAGACCAGCCTGGCCAGTGTGGTGAAACCCCATCCCTGAAAAATACAAAAATTAGCCAGACATGGTGGCAGGCACCTGTAATCCCAGCTACTTGGGAGACTGAGGCAGGAAAATTGCTGGAACCCAGGAGTCAGAGGTTCCAGGAAACCAAGATCATGTCATTGAAATCCAGCCTTGGTGACAGAGCAAGACTCCATCTCAAAACGAAACAAACAGACAAAAAAATTATAAAGCTGCAATAACCAAAACAGTGTGGTATTGGTATAAGGATAAAAACATAGGTCAGTAGAACATGATAGAAAATCCAAAAATTGGCCAGGTGTGGTGGCTCACACACCTGTAATCTCACACTTTGGGAGGCTGAGGTGGGCGGATCACGAAGGCAGGAGATCAAGACCATCCTGGCTAATATGGTAAGACCCCATCTCTACTTAAAAAAAAACAAAAAAAAAAATTAGCCAGGCATGGTGGCATGTGCCTGTCATCCCAGCTACTCAGGAGGCTGAGGCAGGAGAATCGCTTGAATCCAGGAGGCAGAGGTTCCAGTGAGCTGAGATTGCGCCACTGTACTGCAGCATGGGTGACAGAGCGAGACTCTATCTCGAAAAAAAAAGAAAATCCAAATATAAACTCAAACATGTGTAGTCAGTTGATTTTGAATAAAGGTGCTGAAGTATTTCAATAAAGGAAAGGAGGATTTTTTCAAAAAATGGTGCTGGAGTAATTTGATATCTCTATAAAAAGATGAACCTAAATTCTAGATCCTAGACTCTTACCTCACGCCTTAAACAAAATAATAAATTTACAGTATATTATAGACCTAAATGTAAGAGTTAAAACTATAAAACTTTCTTTTTTTTTTTTTTTTAAGACAGGGTTTCACCATGTTGGTCAGGCTGGTCCTGAACTCCCGACCTCAGGTGATCCGCCCACCTTGGCCTCCAGAGTGCTTGGATTTCATATAAAACTTCTAAAAGAAAGTATAGGAGAAAATCTTTGAGACCTCGGATTAGGCAAAGATTTCTTAGACACAATACTATAAGAAAGGTTTATGAAAGAAAAAAATGATAAATGGACTTCAAAGCTTGAAATTATTGCTAAGAAACTCAATTTTTAAAAAATATGCAAAATATTCGAATAGATCCTTCACTAAAGAAGGTACACAAATGACCAGAAAGCCCATTAAAAGATGTTCAACATGTAAGCTGTTAGGGAACTACAAATCAAAACTTCAGTGAGATACTACTTCATTAGGATACTATAATCAAAAAGAGATGATCACAAGTATTGGTGAGGACTTAGAGAAATTGGAACCCTTCTCCATTACTGATGAGAAGGTAAACTGGTACAGCCACTTTGGAAAACAGTTTTGCAGTTTCTCAAAAGATTAAACATAGAGTTACTTTATGAACTAGTATCTCCACTTCTTCAGTATATACCCAAAAGAAATGAAAATACATCCACATAGAAATTTATATCTGAATGTTTATAACAGTAGTATTTACAGTAGCCAAAAAAGTGGAAACAACACCAAAGTCTATCAACTGTTGAAAGGATAAATAAAATGCAGTATAGCCCTACAGTGGAGTATTATTTTGCCATCAGAAAGGAACGAAGTACTGATTTGTGTCAAAAAATGGATGAACCTTGGAAACATCACGTTCAGTGACAGAGCCAGTCACTAAAGACTGCAGGTATTATATGATTTCATTTATATGAAATGTTCGTATAGGTACATCTATAGAGACAGAAAGTAGATTCACAGTTGCCTAGGGCGGGGGGTATTTGGGGAATGGGAAATGGCTGCTAATAGGCACAGGACTTCTTTTTTGGGGTGTTAAAAACTTAAATTATTAGATGTTAGTATTTTATAGTGAGATTGTGCAACTCCAAGTATACTAAAAATCATTGGGTTGGTTGGCTGAGTTTTAGGGTATGTGAGTTATATCTCAACAACTATGTTTAAAAAGTACAGTAACACTATGCACCCGCTAGTTTGGCTAAAATAAAAAAAAAATGACATTACAACGTGTGCAGGGATGTGGAAACACTTGAAAGCGTCATACATTGCTAGTGGAAATGCAAAATAAAATCATCCCTTTAGAAAAATTGTTTGGCTGTTGCTTGAAAAGTTAAATGTGTTCTTAACATATTATGACAAAACAATTGCACTGCTGGGTATTTACCCAAGAGAAATGAAAAATATGTTCACACAGACTTGTCTGTGAACATTTATAACACCGTTATTCATAATAACCACAAACCGGAAAACAATTCGAATGAGTGAGTAAACAAAATGTGGCATATCCATAACCCAGAATCCATCTTATAAAAATAAATGAGCCACTGATGCACTCAACAACACGAGTAAACCTTGAAAAATTATGTGAAGTTAAAGAAGCAGACAATGCTATGTACTATACGATTCTATTTGTATGGATTTTTTTTAAGGCAAAACTATAGAGACAAAAAACACGTCAGTTGTTGCTTGGGCCTGGGAACAGATTGCCTATGAGCACATGGGAACTTCGTGAAGTGATGCAAGTGTTCTAAAACTAGGTTGTAGTGTTAGTTGCACAATTGTATAGATTTACTAAATTCATGAAACTATAAATAGATGAATGCTATGTATTATAAATCATATCTCGAAAGAAAACCCAAACCAGGGAGGACTAGGACATAGGTCTGTTTCATTTGCCTAGTATAAATGTTTGACCATTGTATATAAATACTCAAATTGTGGGAGAAGATATTTGCAAACTTTGTGTCTGACAAAAGTCTAATATCCAGCATCTATAAGGGACTTAAACAGATGTACAAGAGAAAAACAATGCCATTAAAAAGTGGGCAAAGGACATAAACAGAGACTTCTCAAAAGAAGACATACATGTGACCAACAAACATGAAAAAGAGCTCAATATCACTGGTCATTAGAGAAGTGCAAATCAAAACCACAGTGAGATACCATCTCATGCTATTTAAAATGGCTATTACTAAGAAGACAAAAAAAAAAAAAAAAAAAAAAAAAAAAAAAAAAAAAAAAAAAAAAAAAAAAAATAACAGACGCCAGGAGGCTGTGGAGAAAAGGGAACACTTACACACTGTTGGTGGGAGTGTAAACTAGTTCAACCATTGTGGGAAGCAGCAGGATGATTTGCTCAAAGAGCAAAAAGCAAAACTGCCATTTGACCCAGCAATCCCATTACTGGTTGTATACCCAGAGGAATAGAAATCATTCTGTCATGAAGACACATGCTTACGTATGTTCTTTGCAGCACGATTCACAATAGCAAAAACATAGAATCAGCCTAAATGCCCATCAGTGACAGATTGGGTAAAGAAAAGGTGGCACATGTACACCACGGAATACTATGCAGCCGTAATAAAGAATGGTATCATCTGTTTCTGGGAACATAGATGGAGCTGGAGGTCATTATCCTTAGCAAATTAACACAGGAACAGAAAACCAAATACTGCATGTTCTCACTTAGAAGTGGGAGCTGAATGATAAGAACTTACAAACGCAAAGAACAAAAGACACTGGGCTCTGCTTGAGTGGGGAAGGCAGGAGGGAGAGGAGCAGAAAAGATAACTATTGAGTACTGGGCTTAGTACCTGGGAGATGAAATAGTTTGTACGGCAAACCTCTGTGACATTTATTCACATCTGTAATCATATGCACCCCGAAACCTAAAATAAAAGTTAGAAAATTGAATCTTGGTTTAAAATAAACTCCCAACTGGCTGTAAAATGTGACTATCGAGCATTTTTATCGTCTCTGGCATTTTACTGTTTCCTGTCACTAGGATGTGGGTTTTTCTGTACGTGTAAGTTTCCCAGACATCTGAGACTTACCTCTTTAATCTTGAAATGTTCTTTGAATGTAACTGTTTTGAAATAGGGTTGGCTAAGCTTTTGTTTTTTACATTGTTTTGGTCATAATTATAATACTCATTATTTTAGAAGAACAGATCCCCTAAGAGCTGCTGATGTTGAAGTGAGAGTGGCTTCATCACTCATTAAATCATCCAAGCCCGCTCTGCCTTTGCTTTCTTCTGTTTCTTCCCTTTTTGCTGTCGGTGTGTTCACTCTTAGAAATCTTGCTCTCCTCCAGTTACTGAATTTCCTTTTCTGTGGGCTAAAATACCAGTAAGTATGTTTGTTAAAATTCTGAGTAAATTAGAAGTAACTAGGCTGAAGTCAGAGGGATGCCTTTTTCACTAAATGTATGCGTACAGTAGTCCCCCTTTATCCATGGTTTTGCTTTGACTGGTTTCAGTTACCTGCAGTCTACTATGGTTTGAAAATATTAAATAGAAAATTCCGGAAATGATTAAGTTCTAAATTGCACGCCATTCTGAGTAGCATGATGAGGTCCCACACGGTCTGCTTTGTCCCACCCAGGATGTGAATCATCCCTCTGTCCAGAGTCTCTATGCTGTCTATGCTCCCCACCTGTTAGTCACTCAGGAGCCATCCAGGTCATCAGATCGAGTCACAGTACTGCCATGCTTGTGTTCAAGTCACCCTTATTTTATTTAAATAACGGCCCCAACGTGCACGAGTAATGACGGTGGCAATTCGCTTATGCCAAAGAGAAGCCATAAAATGCTGCTTTAAGTGAAAAGGTGAAAATTCTCAAGGAAAGAAAAAAAATACATATGCTGAGCTTTCTTGGTTCTTGGTAAGAACCAAGTTTCTATCTGTGAAATTGTGAAGAAGGAAAAACAAGTTCATGCTATTTTCCTGTTGCGCCTCAAGCTGCAAAAGTTATGGCCACAGTGCATGGTATAAGTGCTTAGTTAAGATGGGAAAGGCATTACATTTGTGGCTGGAAGACATGAACAGAAGCATGGTCCAATTGTTATCAGTCCAGTTATGTAGTAGTCATAGTTTCAGGCACCTTCCAGGGGTCTTGGAATATATACCCCTTGGATAAGGGGGCACTCCTGTAGATTTGAATATATGACTTTCATTTGCTTCTTAGCTTTTTTTCTGGAAAGATGACATTGGTAGACAGTGACCTGAAGATAAATGAGGTATTGAGCCAGTGTTCTTTTCAGCTTTTGGATGCCATGATTTCAGTTCTAGGCCAGTTTTACACAGAGACAGAATAGACAAATTCCCCTCACCACGCTGAAGCCCTTTACTTCTTGACATTCTACCCTAATTGCAATATTGTTTTGAATTTAAATACAGAAACTTCTGTCGCATATGATCCGGCAATTCCACTTTTGGTATACAGCTGAAAGAATTTAAAACAGAGACTCAAATAGATACTTGTATATCAGTGTTCCTAGCAGCAATATTCACAGAGTATAGAAATAGCACATATGTCCATGAAGAGATGAATGGATGAACAAAATGTATACAAACTGGATATTATTCAACCTTAAAAACAAATGGTTGGGAGGCCGAGGCGGGTGGATCACGAGGTCAAGAGATCGAGACCATCCTGGTCAACATGGTGAAACCCCGTCTTTACTAAAAATACAAAAAATTAGCTGGGCATGGTGGCGCGTGCTTGTAATCCCAGCTACTCAGGAGGCTGAGGCAGGAGAATTGCCTGAACCCAGGAGGCGGAGGTTGCGGTGAGCCGAGATAGTGCCATTGCACTCCAGCCTGGGTAACAAGAGCG